TAGGATAAAGCACAGATGCTCTCTAAGGTCTTTCTTGATCTAGCCCCTGCCTGTCTCACATTCAGTACTAAGTAGGAGCAACCCTGCTTAGCCTCTGAGATCAGACCCTTGCCTGTCTCTCTAACTTTATCTAACTCATGACTCACTTTCCTTTGTCCACCATGCTTTAGCTATACTAACCTTCATTCACTTCACTCTTTTCTCATTATATACTTACTCCCTTTGTGCCCAAAATGCTTATCTTCTGTTACCTCACTGGTTACCTTCTACTTCTGCTTCAAATCTTAGCTCAAATGCTATTTTTGCAAAGAAACATGTAACCTAAACCTTCAGATAAATCTAAACCCCATTGTGTGTATATATATATATATATATATTTTTTTTTTTTTTCTTTTTTTTGGCGGGGGGACAGAGTCTCACTCAGTTGCCCTGGGGTTGAATGCTGTGACATCATAGCTCACAGCAACCTCAATCTTTTAGGCTCAAGCAATACTCTTGCCTCAGACTTCCAAGTAGCTGGGACTATAGGTGAATGCCACAACACCCTTTTTCTATTTTTAATACAGATGGGATCCTGTTTTGCTTAGGCTTATCTCAAAATCCTGAGCTCAGGCTATCCACCTGCCTGGGCCTCCTAGAGTGCTAGGATTACAGGTTTGAGCCACTGTGCCTGGCCTCAACTGATTCATATATTTAACAATCAAAGAAAGAAGAATCCACAATTAGGGCAAGTTGCAGTTCCAAGAGTCAAAATTTCTTACCTATCAAGCTTAATTTAGGAACCAGGTACATGTCTTTTTCATTAATGACAAGTGTGGGGGCAGGGGGTGGTGGACCAGGGTCTGAATTGTCAGTCGTAGGTACCAAGGGGCAACGCTGTACAAAGTGTGTGTCTGCCAGTCGCGCAAATGTGTTCGATACCTCAGCATAGTCCATGGTCTTGCCATCTATACAACAGGAGGGAAGAAACAGGTGAGATGGCCTTAAATAGCTGAGTATTTGTTCTTATGGCTAGCTATAGATACAGAGAACCCACCCTCCATGGTCTCTGTGAGCCGATCAGCCACCTTCTTCACGACAGCTGACATTGTTAGTTTGCCATTCAACAGCAGCTCCTCAACAATCAGCTCTCCAGGGTCACTGTACAGTGTTTTGGTAGTATAGATATACCGGGGATACCTAAGCATCTGCAATACCCGGCTGCACTGGGCTTCATACTCTACCACACCACGTTTGTGCACTTGATAAATCACCAGGTTATGCTGGATGAGGACACAAAGGGCTTTCTTCACCTACACAGGACCCAAAAGAGAAGAAAGATCTGAAAACATTATTGTTGGCAATTTTTTGTTCAATATTTTACTAAGTATCAGGTGATGGCTGGATTAGAATCTCTGTGCTTATTCCCTCTCTCCAGTAGAGCAGCTAATGAGAATCACATACCAGTAGAAACAATCATGAAGATTACTTGCTGTGATATACATCTTTCCTCTGATCCTTATGTTTCTAAGCACAATTTACTTTCCTTCTACCATTCTCATTCTTTAAACATAATATTGATATTAGTAGACTCACTTTAAATAAATGAGATAGGGCATGAAAAGAGGAAAGATTTGCCTAAGAAGACATTAATGAACTAGGAACAGATTGAGAAGTAGAAATCAGAGGCCTAAGTCCCATCCTTTTTCCTTCCATTTAACACTGTTCTCATAGTAGAGGAGGCTTTCTCCATTTTTCAGGGTGGGGAGTGACAGTATTCAAAGATAGATTAAAGAAAGAGAGCAAATTAATGTCACTTAAACATACCTGATCCAGCGATGTTCCTGTGTCATGGGCAATTACTTTTAGTGGTTGGCTGCCAGTTCTGATTAGGTGGACTCCAATTTTTTCTACAATCTCTCCAAAATGCTCTTGTAGTAACAAAGAACATAGCTTAATTTCTGCTTGAGTCATTGTACTAGAGAATTTCAGTGCTGAGGAAAAAAACAAAAACAAAAACAACAACAACCAAACTATATAATGGTAAGTTTTTCTTTCATGTTGGGAGTAAAGCTGCTGAATGTAAATTCATGTATTCTGGCTGGATACAATGGCTCACACCTGCAATCCCAGCACTATGGGTGGCTGAGGCAGGAGAAGCACTTGAGGCCACAAGTTTGAGACCAGCCCAGGCAACACAGTGAAACCTCATGTCTACAAAACCATAAAAATATAGCTAAGTGTGGTGGCATGTGCCTATAGTCCTAGCTACTTGGAAGGCGAAGCAGGAGGATCACTTGAGTTCAGGAGTGTAAAACTGCAGTGAGCTATGATTACACCGCTGTGCTGCAGCCTGGGTGACAGAGACAAAAACAATAATTTACATGTTCAAAAGCCTTAAAATCTTGCATATCAGTAATTCTAGCACTCTAGGAGACTGAGGCAGAAGGATTATTTGAGCTCAAGTGTTGGAGACCAGCCTGATCAAAGTGAGACTCCTGTCCTCACTAAAAATAGAAATATCAGACAGGTGTGGTGGCCAGCACCTTTAGTGTTAGCTACTAGGGAGGTAGGTAGGGGAACTGGCTGAACCCAGGAGTTTGAGGTTGCTGTAAGATAGGCTGAGGCCAGGCACTCTAGTCTGGGTAACAGAGCAAAATTTTGTCTCAAAAAAAAAAAAAAAATAATAATCTTGCATACTGGCCAAATGCGAAGGCTCATGCTCCTATTGTAATCCTAACATTTTGGGAGGCTGAGGGGTGAGTATCACTTGAGGCCAGGAGTTTTGAGACCAGCCTTAGCAAACCAAGACCCTGTCTCTACAAAAAACAGAAACATCTGTTGGCCCTGGTGATGTGTACTTACAGTCTTAGCTGCTTGGAAAGCTGAGGCGGGAGGATTGCTTAAGCCCAGGAGTTTGAGGTTGCAGTGAGTTACAGTGATGCCACTATACTCTAGCTTAGGTGACACAGTGAGACACTGTCTCAAACAAACATATATTCATTTTGGATATATGTTTCAAGAAAATAATTTTTAAAAATCACTGGATTCCTTTATACTATTGGTATACTGGAAACGACTCAGAGAACGGAATACTATGCCAGCATTTAAAATACTTATAAGCATAGAAAATTATTCATAACATATTAAGTGATAGAAGCAAACTGCTAAGAAAAGTGTCAACTAAAATTCAATTATTGCAAATAAAAACATGTATGAGAAAGACTGGAAGACTACACATCGAATTTATCTTTATGGGATTATGTGTGATTTTAATTTTTTTAAAGATTGGGAGGAGATGATTTTGCAGTCTGCCAGTCTTTAGATTCTACACTTTAATGCTTGGAAGAATTCTGGTCACTGTTCACAGCCCACTGGGAGTTAATAGCCAGTGTCCTGTCCAACCCATAAAGAAAATGACAACTTAGAAAAAAGTAGGAGGTAAAGAACAGCTTCTCAGCAGAGTGTTTCAAACGGCAGATAAAGTTACGTTCCTTGCAGGTCAATGTTTAAGTCTGAAATTTCTAGACTTTGACAAAATAGACAAAAACAGAAACGGACGTAGTTGTTTGATTACTCCCTTAACACAAACTGCTACCAAACGTTAATTTATTTCTTCTCTCAATGCCTTAGAAGCCAAGTCTAAGCCTCAGCATCCCAAGATAGACCTATTCCACCCATCTCCGCGTCTTTGGAGAAGCATCTCCAGACCGTTGCTTGACTCCTAGCTCGTCACTCTCCATGCAGATTCCGGGTCTCAAATTGGTCTCTCTTGGTCCAGAGTCAGGGAAGCCTCGTTCAGACAGCATTTTCCACTAACCTCAGGGACAGTACAATCCAAAGGCTCGAAGCCCAACGCCCTCGCGCTCCCCACGGCAGCTTCCTGTGGCTCCCGCGAGCCGCCGGAGCAGAGGGGGAGCCCACGACCCTCTCTCGGAAGATGCCGGGCGCCGAGCGGGACGCGGAAAAGGAGAAAACGCGCGCCGCTCTACCCTGGAGTTTCGCTGGCTTCCGGGGACGCTCTTTCTTTCTTCTCGCTGGCAGGCTGGAGGACCGGCGAGGAGCTGTCTGAGGAGCCGGCGGGCTGGCCGCGGCGGGCGGACGCTCCTTCCTGCGCCTGTGTGGAGCCGGGGGCGGGCGCCGGGTCGCCGTCCGCGCCGCCGCCTCTCCGGGCCCGGAGGCTCACGTGACCGCGCGGGCGCTGGAGCGGCGGGCAGCACAGAGGAGGCGGCGGCGGCGCTGGGACTGCAGTCGGGGAGGGAGCGGCCTGGCGAGGAGCGGGCCGACTGCCCTCTCGGACAGCAGCGGCGGAGGACAAAAATGGCGGAGGCCTCGGCGGCTGGGGCCGATGCAGGCGCCGCGGTAGCCGCGCATCGGTTTTTCTGCCACTTTTGCAAGGGCGAGGTCAACCCCAAACTACCGGTAAGAGTCCATGGCCTCTGGGCTCTGGCGCCGCACAGATGCCTGGCCCCGCCGTCCCGGAACCGGGTTTTAAGCTTCCTGCACACCCTGAATCCCCTGGCGTCGGTTTTCCGAGAACCCCCTGCCCTCCGTCTCCAGTCGCGGTCCCAACCTCTGGAGGGCCCTGCCCAGCTCTGCGGCCTCCTCGGCTGCCCCCCTCCCCCCCGCCCCTCGTTTCCTCTCCCTTTCTTACCTGCACCCTGCTTTCTGCCGTCCCTAGTAAGCTCTCCTTTGACAACTGTCCCCTAATTTTCTTGCACTCTTCACAGTGTCTCCTTCTCACCATGACCCTCCCGCCCCCGTCTTTGCGCTGTCGCTTCTCACCTTCCCCTGTTAGCTTTTCCACTTCCCACCAGATCCTCCGCCTCCCCCATCCTCAGTGAAGCAATAGCGGGTTGCTGAGGATTGTCTCCATTCGGGTGTCCCCAGGGAAGGAAGGGCGCAGCGGACAGGGTCTGGAAGGTAGTTGAGGCAGAAAGGGGGTGTTTGGTCTTCAGTGGCTTCAGTGTTCTAGTGAAAGGGAAAACTGCAGTGAACTAGTGACTTGAAGTGTGCCTGCTCTCCCTGTCACTACTGAAGGAAATGGCTGTAGGAAGAAGGCTGGACATACTGTTTCAATTTGGTTTATTTTGGCTGTCACGCTGCCAGTATCTTTAGTACCAACTCTCTTACCGCTCCTCCCCCCTTGACTTAAAAAAGATCCAGGACAAGCTCGGCGTTGTGGCGGGCGCCTGTGGTCCCAGCTGCTCGGGAGGCCAAGGCAAGAGAATCGCCTAAGCCCAAGAGCTGGAGGTTGCTGTGAGCTGTGACGCCACGGCACCCTACCGAGGGTGACAAACTGAGACTCTGTCTCTAAAAAAAAAAAAAAAAGATGATGATCCAGGACAGACTTGGGGACGCCTTCCTCTGACACAAAATTTGTTTTCCCCACTTCTACTCCCTCTCTTGACTTAAGAAAAATCCAGGACAGACTGTTGGGGATTGTTTCCTCTGACATAAAATTGGTTTTCACCATTTTCTGCCAGCATGTATTAGCCCCTGGAGAGGTACTGCGGTGTTTGTGGAGAAAACTCCGCCGCTGCTTGCTACCCAGTGCCAGGACCTACACCCCAAACCCAGAACTACTTCAGGGAGACCCACCAGGGTGAAGGTGATCTTATCCTTTAACAGCTGGCTTTATAGAATTAGTTGTGGTTCTTTTCCTTAGAAGCGTCCAGATTCAGGCTTAAAACCTGACCATCTACCTCTATATTTATAGTGTCTCAGATACAGTCGAGGGAGAAAAGCCTTCTAAAGTGTGTCAGTATATCTTATTTCTTGAAACACAAATAAGAGTCCAGTGAATAAGTGCCTAAAGGGTATTTTATACCCATTTCACCCAGAAGTTTATTCAGGTTTTTTATGTCATTTTATTTCCTCTCTATTTCTTTCACCCGCAACGTCATAGTCATAGTTTGATCTAAAAGCTCCTTGGGTTTGCTTGCTGATTTTGCTGTGTTTATGTGCTTTTTGCCATATTTCAGTGCTGGGAAGAGCAGGTGCCTTATTTTTTTTACTGCAGACATCAAAGCCTCCAGAACTCTCATCATAGAGAGGAACTCTGGAATTCAGCCAGTACGTGTGTGACCAGTGACATGTTGAATTGTGATGCCTTGTTGAACTTTGTGGCCTTTGCTTTTCTGATCTTTAAGTTGCTATCTGTTGTGCTCTAAGAGTGAGAAAACATTCTCAATCTCCGGAACTTACTATAACTTTCTTTTTATTGCCTTAAATCACCGCTTCAGTTGGGATAGTTTGAAAGGCTTTGCAGGCGTTTTTCTAAGTCTTAGGTAATACCTAGAGAAGTTCTTGAGCTTACTATTTTGACTTATTATCTGTCATGCCTTATTTGTAAATTGAAGGCCTAACATAATTGAATATAACCAAATGCTTCCTAAAATATATGCAAGATTCTGTTGTGGATGCCTTGGAGGTGATAGGGAGGAATAGTTCTGCCCTTAAGGATCTCACAGTGTTTTTGGAAAGACAAGACAAACATGGAAAATGTAGCAGCATAATGTGAATGAGGATGGATAATTTGTGCTTTAGAATTCACAGAGTGGGAGATATTGTGCAGTCCAGGAAGTTTTGACAGAGGGGGTGGGATTTAAATTGAGTTTTAAAGTATAGGTATATTTCAGATTGAGAATTCCAAAGACTGTGGGGTAGAAAAAGGAGGAGGAGGTAGAATTGCTTGAACCTGAGTTTGAGGTTGGTATGAGCTATGACGTCATGGCACTCTACTGAGGGTGACAAAATGAGACTCTGTCTCAAAAAAAGGGGGTGAGGGAAGAAGGGGTTGAAAAAACGGAAAAACATTTAATAAATGATGGCTGTTCTTTAAAATTGCTAAGTAAGGTTGGGGGCAATGGCTCATGCCTATAATTTTAGCACTCTGGAAGACCAATGAGGTGGATTGACTGAGCTCTGGAGTTTAAGACCAGCCTGAGCAAGAGTGAGACTCCATCTCTACTAAGAGAAAAACTAGCCCAGCATTGTGGTGGGTGCCTGTAGTCCCAGCTACTCAGGAGGCCGAGGCAAGAAGATTGCTCAAGCCGAAGAGTTTGAGGTTTCTGTGAGCAATGAGGCCACAGCATTCTACCCAGGAAATAGAGTGAGACTCGGTCTTAAAAAAAAAAAAATCGATAAGTAAAAATTGTTATATATTATGTTTTTATAGGGTACAACATGTTTATATATATATATAGTAGAATGACCAAATCAACTATTTAACATAAATGTTATCTCACTTTGTGATGAAAATACTTAAAATCTACTCTTAGCAGTTTTCAAATATATAATGTTATTAACTGTAGTCACCATGATGTATAGTAGTAAATCATTGTTGTTATACATTTTTAGGAAAAGGGGCAGTGAGGTTAGTGTTACAGTTTTGAGTCTTATGTGAACCAGTGAATTTCATCTTGTTTCACGGCCATTTCTGTCCTTTTTTTTTTTTTTTTTT